CTAATCTAAACTCCCCCTGTTTAAGTTTGAAGCCATTACCCGTTGTCCTACCACTACAGTCCGTGATGAAGAGTCCCTCCCCAGTATCCTTATAGGCCCCCTTCAGATACTGGAAGGCTCCTATGAGGTCTCCACGCAGCTTCTCTTCTTCCAAGTTACCATTTACTGTTTGACCTATTGTATGTCTGAGTAGGGTGACAATGTCAAAAATTGTGCTTGTCAAATATTATTGTCCTGGATTCAGCTACAGCAGTCGTTTTTTATCCTTCTCAGTAGCTGGTGCAGTGCTGTGTTTTCGACTTTCAGCCTGGGAACAATGCTGATAACACCGATGTTTTTAGTTGTTGCTCAGTAATGTTTACTCTGACCAAGGACTCATGCTCTGCCAGGGAGGAGGGGAAGCTGGGAGGAAGCAGAGACAGGACACCTGACCCAAACTGGCCAAAGGGGTATTCCATACCACAGCACATCATGCCCAGGATAGAAACTGGGGGGAGTCACCTGGAAGGCCCAGATCGCTGCTCGGGTTGGGCTGGGTATTGGTCAGTGGGTGGTGAGCGGTTGTGTCCTCTCCTCTTGTTATTTCCCTTATCATTATTATTGGCAGCAGTAGTGGTTTTGTGTTGCACCTTAGTTATTGGACTGCTCTTATCTCAACCCGCGGGAGTTACATTCTTCCAATTCTCCTCCCCATCCCTTCGGGAGCGCGGGGAGGAAGAAGGGGGCAGAGAAGCGAGTGGCTGCTTGGTTCCAGGTTGCTGGCTGGGTTTAAACCACAGCAATTATACTACTGTAAACATCTGGATATGAAAACATAATTGCCTGTTTATTTGTATTAAGACTGGAGTAGTCATGGATGGAACTACATCTTAGATGCTGTACCAAAAAAACCCTAAATTCACTGTCAAAAGTAGTTTACCTCAAGAAATAAGGTACAATTATTTTTTTATGTAGCTGAAACTTAAGAAACAAAAGTAAACCTCAGAATTCAGGAAATCACCTTAAATTAAGATTTCATTATTACAAAAAAAAGTTGTATGTTTTATTCTCTGAGAAAGATAAGAAACTATCCTACCAGATTGAAATGACTAGAAATTTAAGTCTTCATTATTTGAAAAAGTGATTTAGCTATCTCTTTTACTAGCTTGAATTTAAAAGATTATATTATGTCAAAGCTAATATGTCTTTTATGGTTCATAATACCTTTAATCTTATAATTTTACATCTTTGGGTTGTTTTCTGTTTACTTTTTTTTAAGTTGACGAGTATGTGTGTATGTATATACCCATGGAATATGTAGGGTACATAAATTTATGAGTCAGACTTTGGAGACTTTGATCATACTGCACGGCCTTTAATTCCATGATGTGAGCATGTTAAGCCATTTAGATATAAACAGTTCTGAATGCACTTTTATAATTGGACTCTGGAAGGCCTTTTAGACAAAAACCTTGCTGGTTGTTCAGCATCTCCTTCAGATGGGATTCTTCAATTACAGATCGAATCTTGCATTCAGATCTGCAAGCTGCTGGTCTAATGTTTTTGTCCATTCCTGAGTAGTTTCCAAGTTCAGTCTCATTTAGAAGTATCTTCTATTCGGGGTGCTGCAGAAACATCAAGGAACTACAGCAAGTACCTTCATATATTGTTAATGTTCCAATATACACAAGGTACAGCAAGGTAGATGCTGTGATATCAAACATAAACCCCAGAAGACTTTAATCTGAAGGAACAATCTTTCTAAATTTGCAAAACTGACCACTTGTGTTCAAATTAATTTTTAAATGAGTATGTTCATTTAAATAAATGTGTTCATCACCACAGACTGCAGTCGAAGTCCTGTCTATATGTCCTTTCATTTGTTTAATTCCTACTGCAAACCTTTGTTTAGAAAGCAGAAGAGCAATGACAGAGGCAGGATTATTAACTAATCATCCAGATTAACAGAAAGCTTCTGGATTTAACAAAATAACAAAAAAGAAAAGAAATGGAGATCTTAGAAAACATTATACTCAATGTACTGGCTTCATCAACTGATTGAAAATGTGCATGGTGAAACATTTGTGTCTTCAACCAGAAAGCAAATGGGGAATTACATGAACCACATTACATGCATTATCCAGATTAATTATAAATATACTTTGAAACTTGACAGCGTTTAATAGGTCAGATGAATGACAGTGAGATCGCAAGGCTGGGTTAATCAATAATGCTGCTTTTATGACCCCTTTTCATCCGCAGAGTCATTTAAAAAAAAATAATTTATATATAAAAAAATCCAAAGAAAACAGGTTTTGCTGTCTAGCTGTTGGGGAGAAAAATTCCCTTGTGCTGTCTGCTCTGCATCTAGAGGAATAACACCTTTGGCATTGTTCCGAGTCAGTGTAAAGAAACTGCTCCTATAGGTTGTTGTTCCTTGTGTTGAGAAGTTGAAAGACAAATTCATGGCATAACACTTAGGTCTTCATGAAACGCATTCATAACTAAAAAAATATCTCAAAGTACTTTAGTGTTTTGGTTTCACCTATGGGGTTCAGAAAATTGAGTAGATTGTAGTTAGGACTACTTTGTTTAATCTAGTCACTGTACATTTTATTCTAGTAAAACAAGGAATGCATGGATGGAATGGGACCTTTCCTTTAAAGAGAAAAATAATAGTTAAAAGTGTTGGCTGATAATGAAATAAATATGCAGTTTTCAATATTAATGGAATAGGGCTTTGGAGAAGAACAAAGTATTTTCTTATATATTTTTCTTATAGAATTTGCTGTGCAGATTGATAATATGAGCTGCTTTTAAATTGGTTATCAAAAGTTCATGATTAACTAGTAAGGTGAGTATTCTACTCTTCAAGGAGAGGAATGCTGTCAATTGCTATTATTTTGCTCTGTGGTAAAATCAACTGAGATTTTCCCTTTGATGTTTTAAGTGAGAAGATGTGTTAGACTGTATTAAAACAGAAAGAACTACTGGAAAAGACTCAGCGGCAAGTGGAAGGGCTGGAGATCTCCTTGGAGAGCTTAAACACAGTATTAATTCTAACAAAGGTTAGCCAGCATACAGACCTTAAAAATAATACTACTTTTGTCCTTCTTTTTCCCTTGAAGTGTGGTGTTCCCTTTCAAGAGGAAGATGTGATTATCCTTAATGGCAATAAAGAAGATGTGGAAGTATTGAAGAAAAGGATGGAGAATAGAAGACTTAAAAGTAAATTGGAAAAGGTAGTATTTTTATATGTTGTTTAAAACAAAATTGAAAGAATTCTTGCCTGTAATGCAGTCTGCTCTTAGATTGCATAGCTTTGCTAACCTTTATGCAGATGGAAGGACGGGTTTACTTAGTGAGCTGTGTTGTACTTCAGTGCTACTTTTAAAAGTAATGGAACTGTGTGTGTATTTTGCTAATAGCTTATTGAAGTTGTATGTACTGAAACTGTCTTTTGACTAGCAAGCAGTGTGTAGTGCTATGAAGATCACAGAATTCAATGCAAGCTATGTTTCAGGTCTGTCTTGAAATAAGGAGAGCTTGTATTAGTTAATTCTAGTAATGAGCAAAATCTTAACCTGATGGCAGGTTATTAGTTTTTTGATTTCAAAGTATCCCCTGAGGCCAATGTCAGAAACAATACTGGGGTATGTTCATTCCTGGTCTGATTCTGTAAGACCACTGTTGGGAAATTTTTACATGCTTTGTGGTTCTTATAGTCCTGGGTAATTACTGATGATGCTACTTCCTACCACAGTGTTGAGGTCTTTTCATTTATTTTTGGTTTCAATCTGATGAGGCAAAATGCCATGAAAATAAAGTTGCCAATCTACTCGATGCTCTACTGTATACTACTCTCTGAAGTAGTAGTTGTTTTTGGTACTGTACTGTCAAATGGAAGTTCTGCATAAGGGACTTTTTTCAACATTGCTGTGTTTTTCTGAACTGGCATTGCTACTCTGGAGGATGACAGAGCAAGCAAAGACTTGAGTGTTGACACTGTCCAGAGTGCAGACAGATTTGGTTGAATCTCAAGAGCATGAATATGACACTTTCAGCCATGGAGATTTTAGATGGAGGTTGAGCAGCTCACCCCTATTGCTGCACTTGATTTTACCCGCCTGTAGGATTAGATGGCACACAAATGTTTTCATAGATTGTTTTGAAACAAATACTTGTTTACTTCCCTGTGAGCACATAATTCCTTCGCATCTGTCCTGGGTTCAGCTACAGCAGTCATTTTTTCTCCTTCTTAGTAGCTGGTGCAGTGCTGTGTTTTTGACTTTCAGTCTGGGAACAATGCTGATAACACCGATGTTTTTAGTTGTTGCTAAGTAACGTTTACTCTGACCAAGGACTTTCTCAGTCTCATGCTTTGCCAGAGAGGAGGGGAAGCCAGGAGGAAGCAGAGACAGGACACCTGACCCAAACTGGCCAAAGGGCTATTCCATACCACAGCACGTCATGCCCAGTATAGAAACTGGGGGGAGTTACCCGGAAGGCCCAGATCGCTGCTCGGGTCGGGCTGGGTATCGGTCGGCGGGTAGTGAGCGGTTGTGTCCTTTTCCCTTGTTATTCCTCTTATCATTATTATTGGTAGCAGTAGTGGTTTGTATTATACCTTAGTTACTGGAGTGCTGTTATCTCAACCCGTGGGAGTTACATTCCTTCGATTCTCCTCCCCATCCCTCCGGGAGTGGGGGGAGGAAGGAAGAGGTGGGGGAGTGAGCGAGCGGCTGCGTGGTTCCAAGTTGCCGGCTGGGCTTAAACCACGACAGCATCATAGGGTCTTTATACATCAATACAGCATCATTAGGCCTGGGCAATACAACAAAAGAATGGTTACCCATAGAAATCTTGCTGTTCTTTTTCCTCTTGTGTTTATTGCCTCTCTATTTAGTATCCTATAGCTTTTGGCATAAAAGCAGTACTGTAATTCTTATGCTGCCTCTTCAGATGTTTGTGGGGTTTTTTTCCCCAGTACTTTCTAGTTAAATGTTTGAAAGAATTATACAGATAATTTGTTGATAGAATATTGGAGATCTCAGTAGATGAGTAATCAGCCCCAAAAGCAGTGGTTGGTTGCACTCAATTTTCATTAGGAAGGTAGCCCTAACAAAGCACCTACAGCTTTGGTTCAAGTAATTTAGAATAGTCTGAAAGCTGGAACAAAGCTTACGCACAACAAAGAAGTACCATGTAAGTGTCCAATTGTCTTTTACAGTGTTGGCATAGTCACTCATGGAGGTAGACAAAAGGAAATCATGCTTTGGTCTTGGGGCTCTATATGCCGTGGGTGAATATGCAAATATTTTTTGTTTGTTCAGTGGAGACTTACAGTACAGGCAGGTACAGTATTTGCAAATCTCTCAGCAGGCCTCTTGCATTTCATCTTCAAGTTCCTGTGATTTTTTGCAATTCTGTCATGCCTTGCTGCACAAGCTGATGTTTTTGCATCTAGGACCAGTCTTCTCTGCTTTCACTGGCACCACTCACTTTAATCCAAGATCTGGGAGCTCCGGTCCTGATACTGGAAGACAGTTTCTAGTTTTGGGTCTGTTGGCACTGCTGTTCAGGTATCTTCCTCAGTTCCCTCTTTCAGCAAGGAGAGCAGTCTAAGGGAACCCAACTGTATTTGGATCATGAAGTACAAACTCCTTTTATTCATACTCATGATGCAAGTTATAACGAAGACACAGCTTGCAGTAGTGTAAAAATTTATTCAAGCTCAACTATGTCATATCATAATGAAATATGTATAATATGTATTACTTCTACATAATATATATGCATACATGTATTTAAAAAAAATCTCATAATTCAGGTGCCAGCTACTGGAGGTAACTTTTCTTTGTGAAGCACTCTGAAAAGAGGTTTTCCGTGTGTACTGGAGGACCAGGAGTTTGCTTTTTGGAATAGCAACCCTCTGCCACCACCTTCTGGCTAAGCTTTGCAGCAACGTGTGGTATAGCATTTTTTACCCTCAAGCATTAACCATATTCTCGGCAGCGTAGGTTCTTCTAATTTTTATAACACATTTAAATTTATTTTCTTTGAGTTTGTGTAGCTTTCTTGAAATGTGTACATCATTCTGAATGTATACAGTCATCTTTTGTAATAGCAGTGCCAATGACTGCTTTAATACAGCTTTCTTTTGCAGCTTGGCATTTATGTCATCAAAGCCATTAATGGGATTCTTGTTGCTGTTGTTTGGGGTTTTTGTGTGTTTTAATCTGGACAAATATAGATTAGCTTGGAAAATCTGGTCCATAGATGCTTTTAAAATTTTTAGATTAACTGTTTGCATCTTCCCAAGCAGTTGTGCAACAAAGGCCCCACTTACTGAAAGCTATCCAGGAGGAATTTTTTTATTAACTAAGTGAAATTAAGTGGATATGAGATGCAGGGTTATTCTGATTTTTGATTTTTTAATATTTTTTTTTGAAGTTGGAAAATCATAAAATCACGGAACGATTTGGGTTGGAAACGACCTTAAGATCATCTAGTTCCAACTCCCCTGCTGTGGGCAGGGACACATTGCACTAAACCATGTCGTCCAAGGCTCTGTCCAATCTGACTTTGAACACTGCCAGGGATGGAGCATTCACAACTTCCTTGGGCAACCCATTCCAGTGCCTCACTGGAAAGAACTTCTTCCTTATGTCTAATCTAAACTTCCCCTGTTTAAGTTTAAACCCATTACCCCTTGTCCTACCACTACAGTCCCTGATGAAGAGTCCCTCTCCAGCATCCTTATAGGCCCCCTTCAGATACTGGAAGGCTGCTATGAGGTCTCCACGCAGCTTCTCCAGGCTGAACAGCCCCAACTTTCTCAGCCTGTCTTCATACTGGAGGTGCTCCAGCCCCCTTATCATCCTCGTGGCCGTCCTCTGGACTTGCTCCAACAGCTCCATATCCTTCTTAAGTTGTTTCCAGTTAACTGTTCTGTTTAATGTCATGCAATTTAATGTCTGAACCCCCATGTCATGCGGGTTCAGAGCGTCAGATTACCATAACGATAACACTCACCCTCCCCGGCAAAGCATACAAACCAAAATACTGTATCCAGACAGTTTACTTTTGGCCTGCACAATGTTCTTTAAGGTAACTTCAAGGTTCCCAAGGTTACTATTTTTTCATAAAGAAATAATACCAGAAATGTGGATCAGTATGGTGGAAGGAAGAATTCCAATATGCAAGACATGAAAATGTAACAACCGAAGTTGTGTGTCTATCAAATACAAGTTTGGGATTATATATCCTTTCAGTACATTACCAGATTTCTGTTTGTGTTGTTTCAGAAATCAAAGAAATGCAAGTCAGAAGAATCAGCTTCTCAGCAAGATACCACTGAAGGTAAAGTCACAGCTCCAAATTCTGTGGAGCCTTCTGAGTTGTGGAGCAGATTCATGATTTCTTCTTTTGTTTTTGTTTTTTTCCCCATAGATTCTCCAGGTCCATCAAGGGCTAAGAACGGAAAGGACTGTCCCAGTTCCATTTCTGGGGAAAAGAGGCAGATTATCTTCACCAAAAGTTCAGGTTGGTGTCTTCTTTAATCTAAATTTGAAAAATCTGGCAAAAAAATAGTTCTGCTTTGAAAAAAAATATTGCAGGAAAGATCCTTCTCTGGCCATTTTGTACCATAGCTCGAGAAGCTGCCTTCTCACTTCTTTTATTTTTTATCTTTCTCAGTAATAAAGGGTCAACTCACATCTTCAAGGGAGCCATGATGTCATGGCTCAGTTTTTCAGAGAACCCCCCTTTTCAAAAGCCTGTCCTGAAAGTGTGCCTGGCGAAGCTGGAGTAGGAAGTTGCCTCGTGAACATGCACAATCTCCTTGTTCAATAGAAGCTGTACTCAATTTAAGTCTTTCTTGTAGCTTTGCTTTAAAATATGTGAAATCTGCAACACTGACTCTACAGAAAGTGTATAAGGGCTTCTGTTTGTCTGGTTTTCCTTATTCTACACAGTTTGCCTTCATCCCAGCTGCTGTCTATCATCCATCCTATACTCTGAGTAAATAATTTACAGAGCAGGGACTGACTTCTTGTTATAGTCCTAAGACAACAGGGTCTCTGCTTGTGCTTGTGACTGGCAAGTGCTGTAGTGATGCAGGTAACTAGTAAAAATAATAAATACTTTTCACCACAGTGATTTGGGGTTTTTTCACTGTGAAACCAGCCAGATCTTCTTGTTTTTGTCATTCCAATATTGCTTTAAATTGGTGGGAACCAACTTGAGTGAATGAGATTAGAGATTCTTTCTCACACAGTTGAGGGTTTGGTATATCTGTTTTATTAGCTAGGAGATAGTGTGAGGAGAATTGGTAGTTTTCCTGAAGTACAAGTGGTCAAGAGATCTGTTACAGCAGTTTATTTCAGTGAAGTGTGTTAAAATACTTTTAGTCCTCCATTTTAGCTGTCAATTTGCAGTGAAATGTAACTTTGGGATGTTCTGATGGACCTCTGGTACCTCATGCAGCTATGAGTAAACTTGGCAGTCCTGTAGTCCAAAGGATGATGCCCTCTCTCTGTGATATTACATATTTTATGTCATTTAATGTCTTCAACGTTTTCATACAGAACTGTAGGAATGGGTACATTTTTAAAGTCAATATGAGATTTCCATGTGGAGTATTCAACCATGTACATAACAGTCACAGAAAAATTCAATTTGAAGAATCTGAGAATATTTAAACAATGAACTGTAGATAAACTGTGTGAGAAGCTGGGGGATTTTCCATCAGAAGTGCCTTACTTGCCCCCTTCTGTCCGTTCTTACAAAGGATAGACTTCTAAGAATATTGCATTCCAGATTATCATAATTGCTCTTGGATATTTAGAACCTAGTAATTCTAATAATAGTTTATGTATCTTTGTCTTCCAAGAGTGTAAAAGAAAAAGTAGTACACCTTTTGACATGTCAGGTCATTGGTTTATGTTTCTGGCAGCAGTTATATTGACCAGCAAGAGGTTAAGAGGAGAGAGGGAAAATAAAGGAAAATCTGTGAATTGAGGAATGCCAGTAGCATAGGAATTAATTTGTGAACATGGTACCCTAAGGTTTCTGGACTTGCAGCGTGCATATTCATTCTTTCAAATCCAATATTTGGTAATTCTTTCCAGACAACTGTTGGTGGCATTAAAAAAAGCATTCTCCAAAAATAAAAAGGGTCTGATCTGTGATGATTTAGGATTGCATATACAATTCCTATGACTGCATGCAGAAATCAGAGATAAGTGTATTTTCAGACAGGCTTCCTACTAGCTCTTTACATGCTGTTGTGCCAAAGTTGAAGTAAATATGTTGAGTTTCTGCAGACTTTTATGTACTCATTTCTTTGCAAGAGATGGCATGTTCTTTTTAAAATACTGTCATTCAATGCTGGAGAAGATTAAATACTTGTTAAGAAAGAGGTTTGGGGGGAGGTTGTAGCAAGAGATATAATACACTGAGAGAGATTGTATCAGAAACAGAGGGATGGGCATTTTCCTATCCCAAATATAAAATTATGCAGACCATTGTTATTCATCATAAATGACTCTGCAAAGAATAAAGGGAGGAGATGGATTCCCTGGAGACAGTATGTCACAAGTTTAGCTTTTGCCATTTGATAGCTAATTTCTAAACAATACTTCAGGGTAGTGGAATACTTTCATGTTTCTTAAGATGACAGTTTAGAGCCATTTTTCACGTAGAGGAATAAATGTTGTGAATACTGAATTATAGTGCAAGGGATTTACACAAATAGGAAAGAATTCCTCTCTCTCCGAGATTTCTAAATGCATTTTGAGCATAAATTCTAAAAGCTATGAACATGTTTGCTGTTGAGTACAGTTATGGAATATATTTGCAGTAGCCCTGAAAAATGCATATACTTAATCTCCTTATGCATTATTTTTTCCATTTTAGTTAAATACTTTTATCAGTTGTAAGCTTTTAAACCTGCTTCATTCTACTCCTTTTTCTCTACCAGATAATGGAAATTCATCTGTCCCAGGAAAAGTCAATAAGGCCTCTACTACTGCTATGAAGAGATCCATTGCAGACAGTGAAGAGAAGTCTGAGGCATACAAATCTATTTTTACATCACACAGCTCAGCAAAACGTTCAAAGGAAGAGTGTTCCAATTGGGTTACTCACACAGCATACTGCTTCTGAAAAATGATGAGCCTGATTGTAACATTCATTACTGCTTTTCTTCCCTAAGGCTTTTTCTGTAACTGATAGAGAACTTTTGTTGTAATCTGATGTTATCTGGGATTACTCAGTTTGGAAATTGTTTATAAACTTACGGATAACTAACAAACTTGCGTTAGTTGCAACTTCTGTTAAATAAGAAGTAGATCACCAGAACCCGTGTTGTATCAGCAGACCTTATTCTAAAATGGATTGTCTGCACATAAATTTTTCTTCCCCTAGTTGGACACTGTCATTCTGACAGTTAGCTAGTGTCCTCAGTAGTGAGAGTGAGGCGAAGAGGATCTGCCTACTGTCCTCTTCTATTATCATAGAATCAAGGAATGATTTGGATTTGAAGGGACCTTAAAGATCATCCAATTCCAACTGCCTGCTGCGGGCAGGAACGTCTTCCTCTCTAGGCCAGGTTGCTCAAAGCCCAGTCCAACCAGACCTTGAACAACTTCTCCAGGCAACCTGTTTCTCACCACCCTCACAGGAAACAATTTCTGCTTTATGTTTGATATTTGCTGCAACTATAATTACAGTTTTCAATGCATTAGTACAGAAATTCACATTTTTTTGAACTTTCTGACACCTAACTTGGTAGAACTAGTGTATGTTTCTTAAAGGTTCTGTAAGTATTTTCAAGTAATTTGCCTTTTGATGGAATACATAAAAGGGTAATAATGAAAATGTTTGTACAGCATTCTTCTTGTACATGTTGTTGTAAGCTGTTTTTAATAACCAAGTATTCCCTTGTAAATCGTTATCTTTAAAGATGAGCCTGCGATAGCAAGGCTGGGTTTTTCCCAAAAAGGTTTTGGGGGTTTTCTTTTTGGGTGTGTGTTTTAAAGTTAGAATTATCAGGTCTGAGCTTTCTTTTTTCAGAGGATCAGAATACAATGGAACAAAAGTATGAGTTTCCTTACTCTTCTGCTGAAACAGTAAGGTTCTGTGTAACTCTGAGGAGCAATTTGCCGTTTTGAATTTGACAGCTTACGTGGAAATACAAGCATTTGCACAGGGTGAGAGAGAAATGAGTGGTGACAGAACAGGAACAGGCAGATCTTAACTGGCTTTTTAGGAAGAAACAAGTGGGCACCAGTGTCAGGGGAGTCGAATCCACTGGTGAATGATGGAGGGAACCCTGCCAGGCTGGGTTAGCTTTTGCAAACATTTCTCTTGCATTTTGCAGGCAACTGAAATGTGTTGCTTTCATATCTGTAGGACACGTTGGTTTATTTTCTGACATAAAACTCTTACCAGGAAACAACAACTGCTCGTTACAGGAAGATGCTGAGTGTAGTACTCACTCAGTTTTGCTTTTATATTTATGCTTTTGATCCCTGTGATGTTGATTTAAATAAAACTTGCACTTGTTGTGTGACCATAATGCTTCATGTTCAGTTGAACTGATAGACAAGTGCTTATTTGGTCAGTGCTACAACAGAATAACTTTTTATCGGCTTTCCTTTGCCCCTTGTATTCTTAGCTATTTTCAAAGGCAGGAATTCTTTTAAATGTTACTGTTCCATAGCAGTTCCATAGCAGCTGAATATTTGAATCCTATAATAATGACATGAAATGACCAGAGGAAGGGATGGAACCCTTTCACTTTCCTCTCTTCCTCTGTTGAAATACGCTTTTATAATCTTAGCACAAACTAACCAGAATAGAAATGCAGAAAGTAGGAGGCTTGTAAAACCACTGCGTGATGTTACATTGTTACCTTTGTGTGTGAAAATTATTTATTATCCTCATAATTTGTTTAAAACTGTCCCAATTTCTAATTGGCAATAGTGAATTGCAGATTCAAATGCTGTGTTTACAGTTGTGTAGGTGGTCTCCATGATTCACGTGTGTTGAATGCTAGGATTTTATTATTATTTTGATAGGTATAATTAAAAATTGGCTTGTTGCAGAATGTATATGGTGGTAAGCAGTTTTGGTTTCCAAAGATGGGAATGTCTGTATACATCACATCAAACAGTTTGAGGTTTACTTGAGCTTCCAGGAAGCACTCAGTCATGCTTTGTGTACATGTCTGATAATCAGCTTTGTTCTCCTTGTTCTGTATTCTTTTCCACTTCATTATTAACCTTTATTAGTTAGTTGCAGATAATGAAATTACTACACTAAAAGATATACTGTAGTAAGGCCTTCATTTGCAGTCTAATTCTGTTTTGACAATACATGTTAAAGTCCTATTAGTGCTTTATAGGAATGTATTATTCTTCTATTTAAATCAGTGTTCCTAAGAGGAATTAACTTAATTCTTGCAATAAGCTATTACTTTGCTAAAGAATACAACACAACATAATATGCAGTTCTATTTCCCTTTTCTTGATAATGTGTTAGGCAAAGTCCAGCCTGATGACTTGGGAACAGGCTTTCCTGCTCGTTGGGGCAGGAAATAACAGTGATTTCTTTCTTTCAATCTGACTGGTTCATATATTAAAATAAGTTCATGACTACCATGATTTGGTTAATGTATGGATTGCTCATACACACTTGGGTTTATTATCCGGAATTGGTAGTTCGTGCTCTGCCACTTGGATAGGATTTTGTTTGGGAGTTTGCCATCCTGAATGCAGATGCAGTTCTTAAAATACTTATGGTTTATAGAAGAGTTGTCAGTGACTACTGAAGTCTTTTCCTTCCCTTTACAAAAACCAGCTGTGAAGGAATGTGGTACATTGCTGGCATGTAATGCAATTCATCACCACCATTATTTTACATTTACATCTATTAATGTAAAATAGAGGAGCAAAAAACTGACACTTTTGTTGTTGGCAGGCTCAGCCAGGCAGTTGAGATTGGAATGTTGACTTGGCAAGTTTTAATAGATTCAAGCAAATAGTTTGCTGCAGGATGTTTGCTTTGTTGTGGTTTGCTTTTTGTGGGGGAGGGCAATTTAATTTTCTTTTAATATAGGTGAATTTGAATGTTGGTGAAAGTTGAAGACTGCGGAAGTCTTAGAATCTGAAATCTATATTTTCTGAGATGCCACAGCATTGCATCCATGTGTCTGTGTTCTGGGGAGTTCGCAGAACAGTTAATTCTGTTTCCATGATGTTCAAGCCTTGGCCTCCCTTCTGAAGAGCTTAAAAAGGATCCAATTAGTGTCAGTTGTATAATAGGGGGAATTTTTTTTATGTGTGTGTATGTGATGTGGAACCTGCCCACTGGGAACTGGACTGAAATTGAACAACTTCCTTCGCATAGCCCAGTAATCAAACGGTGGGTGTATACTGTACAGACATGTGTCCTGTTACAGGCCTGTGAACTGCCTGTTGTCCTGCACACTTGCTGAGCGTTCAGTCCTGATATCGGTACCTCTCAATCTGACACATTCACACTTAGCCAGGTCACCCTACTGTCCGTGTTCAGTGCTACAGCTTTGGTCCCTGCTTACACCAGTTGGGATGTGAGATTCATGCTGCTCCATGGGGTATCCAAAAACTACCCTTTCTCCTTGTCCTCAGTGATCAGGTGTGGTAGAGCAGCCTCAATGCCCTCCTGCAGCTGACAAACCACCTTGTGCTCTCCTGCACCATGGGCTGACCTGCAAAGAGGAACAGAGGTGCTGGTGCTTTGGCTTTTTGCCTTTGCAGAGGACAGTAAGCACTAAATCTTGCATGATGAGCACTCTGGAGCTGACAAAGGTGAGTTTGGGGCAGATTGCTTTTCCCTGGCTCCTGCACGCTGCAGTAAAAGGTGACTTCCCTCCTTCCCTCCCTAACCTCCATTCTTTGCATGTCTTCTGACCTCACCATGTTCTAGTACTGTCAGCTCTGCCCAGTGTGTTTTTACGAGCACTTAGGCTGGAGGTATGTGCTGATCAGCCTGGTGGTGGATAGCACTGAGCTCTGCAGCCTGTCCCTCTGTAAGGACATTGCTGTTGAAGGCCTCGTCTCTCCAGCCATTCATTTCTGCAAGACCTCTAAAACCAGTGTGTCTTCAAGGGTGTTACATCTCTGAGAATATTAGTTGAAATTAAACAATGTTTTATAACATTGCTGGTACAAGTAGCAGCCCTGAATCTCTAGAAAATTAGACTAAAATCCTTCAGACAAAAAGCATTACTCCAACAGCCATTGGGAAGACTTTTGAAGAGGAGGAACATGTTGTATCTTTTCTGCAAAGACTGAAATTGTGACATCCTGAGGATAAAACTGTAGTTAGTGAATAGTAAGCTTCAAAGGACAGTTTGTTCTGTAAGTATATGTGAAATTTTATTTCCCTTGACTATTTCTTTTTTTTAGAAGTAATCGTAGGACTGTCTTCTCCCTAATGGGAATAGAGTTTGGGAGGCGTACAGTGGGAAAATGCATGCCATCTGCTCAGATGGTTGGAAGATTTTATTGGACTCTCGGAACCTCTCGGCTTCAGTTTCCAAGGTCCATGCCATGAGTTCATCACATGGCTGTGAAATTGACCCAAAAAAAGCTTAACGTTCGCTTTAAAACATTAAAATATTTCTTATTAATGTCGTATTCTTAGCTGAACTGAACGAACACAATTGTCTTTAAGTGTCCTGTCTTGCTTGCTTCGCAGCCCAGATGCCAGTTGCAGTTGGTATATTTTGCTCCAGGTTCAGAACTGCAGTGGCCCTGCCAAATAGTTTCTTAGTTGCATTTAAAAATAAAAGGGCTGTTTATACATCACAGAGGGTCTGAAATCAGTGTGTCCAAGATGAATACGGATCATAGACAAAAAGGGTTTTGTTGGAAGGCTTCACAAATATGGAACTGATTACTGCTAGACAGTGCAGATTTCCTTCTTTAAGATGGAACTGATATAATTCCTTCCTGACAGCTAGAAATTATAATTGAGTTGGGTTTTTTCCTGCATTTTAGACTTTACCAACTTTCAAAATGAGCAAGAGGGATGGAATCCTAATCCATCTGCAACTTATGGGAATTCTGCCTGTAAGCCAGGATTTAAATCTAAATATCCATCCAACTGCCCAGTTAGTGTGGAGGTACTGCTAACGATTTCATAGCTGTGGTTTTGTCAAGCATTTAACTTCATGTGGATTAAAATATCTCTTACAGGTCAGTGACAGAATTCAATTTGCAGATTGACCACAGATCTTTTTGGGGGGAAGAGCCGATTTCGTTATGACATTGAGTAAAATGAAATTCCCATTTTAAAATGTTGCCCTAACAG